TCAAAAAATGAAAAAAACACATTTTTTTTCAATAATAGACAGTACTCCAAAAAATTACTCTCCAAAGTTACTTTATTATTAAATAGACGGTTTCGTAATTTCTTGTTAGTGTGGTTGTATGGTACTGTAGGCCTTAGAACACTCTTAGTCGTCATCACGTTCTGTGAGTAAATTATATTCATTTCTTGAAGTCAGATTAGACTTGCTTATAAAAAATTATTTACCATTTACCATTCTTTCTGTGTCTAGGCTATCTTCATCGAATCAACAACAAGAAGCATCTTTAACACCGATGTTAAAATATTTAATAACCGATGAAAATCAAGATGTTTCGATAGCAGTCGAACCAAAGAGTGAAAAACACGATCAGTTAAGAACAACATCAATAGGTGCGGAACATGAGGATGGTGAAATTGATGAAAGTGAAGATGAAGCTAGTAATTCTACTCCTTTGCCGATGGAAATTGGTATAGATGATAAAAAAAAACGTAAAGTAATCGTAGATCAAGTAGATGAGGAACAAAAACAAGATAGTGTTTCAAAAAAACAAAAAACATTGCTTGATGGAATAAATAAACAAGGTCAAGAACAAAATATCGACATTACGAAACATATTAGTGGAGATCCTACACTGACTGGCGTTGAGGATAAACCATGGATGACATCTGAGTTACGTCAATTGATTAAACAACGAAAACGTTTACAAGCACAAATTTTAGCAGGTGATACAAATGTTGAAGTAGAGAAAAAATTTAAAAAATTAAGAAATACAATATGTAGATTGGCAAGATCATTAAAAGGTACGAATACGTTCACTCGATTGCGAATAATAGAATTCTCTATTTCTCATTTAAAATGAGCAAGTATTTTATTAGACTAAGAAGTACATGTACTCATTATTCACCTTCACTTTTCTTCTTATCGCAATGACAATTTTTTTTTATTTTAGCTAAGTATGAAAAATCCATCACAAGTCCAAAATCTCCATCAAACGTCACTAACGGCAATCAATCTTTGACTAGTCTTCCATCATCTTTATCAAATGGTCAAGCGAACACCATCACCACAACAACATCACTAACGTCTCCTACGACATCTAACACTCAATCTTCATCTGAACAAAATTTACTTCAATCCTTTTTGGATCCCGCAATGGTTATGATGATGTTAATGTATCCAACTCTGTATTCAAGCATGCAACAACAATTACTTTCAAATCCAAACATTTTATCTGCTTATCAAGAAATGATTATGAAGTCAACGCCAGGTAAAGCCAGATTAGAATTACGGCAAGCGTCGAGTCTATAATTATTCTTTATTCTCTCTTTTCTCAAGGTAAAGTGGCTAGTGAAACACAAGTTGTACCAGGAACATCGATCGACCAATTATTGAAACAAACAACATCGACTTCTAAACCACAAGAGAATAAACAACTAATGCAGCAAATCTTATTAGGAAGTGGTTTGTCAACGAATGAGGTGAAAACAGAAAGAATACTGGGTTCGGCGACAAAACCAATCAATCTAAATGCTTCTGATACTATGTCTGCACCAAACACAGAATTATTAAGTCTGTTAGAAAACGTAACAAGTACAACTATTGATAGTCGAAGAGGACCTCAAACACCTCCGGGTTCACCGCCAAACAAAACAGGATTTATTGTACGTAAACATCTAATATTCTTTTCTTACTTCATATACTTTTGTATAAGGAAAAAAGAAAAGTATACTTCGTGTTTTTATTTGAATACTTTTTCAAGTACAATCCACTTGCGCTTTTAGCCACAAATTGGAAATAAACCACGAATAATGACTACTCCAACTACATCATCTAATAATCCATCTATTCTAAATGATTCACCAAAAACTGCAACTCCCGGTGCCTCTGATCAACAAGAATTTCAGTTTAATGCACAAGATATGTTAAATAATTCAAAACTTTCACCTAATTTTCAACAACAAAATCCTAGCCCAGGACAAGTTCAACCTGGTCCGCGTTCACGTGAACGTGGACACCTCAGCCGTCATATTCCATTAACAAGTGAACAAATGAAAGAAGTATTGGCACGAGCGAAAAATTATGTAACTAGTAAACAAAACGATGATGTTCCATCAACACCACCCATCTCAAATAGACGACATATACCATCTGCACAGCAAAATATAAAAACACAAAAGGAAACAGCTGCACAACAAGCAGTTGCAGCAGCCATTGCGGCTGTTCAATCGCAGATACCATCGGCAACAAATGCACCACCACCCCATTCAACACATCCGATTCGGATTCAATTAGGTAAGTACATAATTTAGCGAATGTTTAGATTAATACAAAGGTTGAAAATGGAATAATCATTCAAAAGTAAAAGTTTAAGAAAAACGTAGCCTTTTTACATCATTTGAAAAACAGAATAAATTTTCTGATACGAGAGTTTAGCATCATACTGTGGATTTGCTAACCCTTTGTCTGTAATAAATGGAGCTTTGAAATGTATAATCTCTGATGAAAACATAACGTTTCCAATATGCAGAATATTTTTCGTTCGATTTAGATTATCAAAAGTCAAAAACTTTGACATCCGTAATACCAACGATAAACAGTACATCTTCATCACCACTACCCGTAAAAACCTCACAATCTCCTGTTCCTCCTATGGAGCCCATGTCGTATCAACCACAACAACAAACTCCCTCACCATTTTTTCAACAAAATTGGGCACAACCGCGTACTCCACAACCAAATTCATCATTTTCATTTACTCCGCCAGCTCAACTAAGAGGACCATCAAGACCTCCAATGCATCCACAACACCAATATTCTCAACAACAGCATCCTCCATTTGACCCTCAATTTTTTCGCTATCCACTTCCATCTCAACAAATTACTCCGCCACATCCGCCTCCAATTCGACATCCCAATAGTTATAATCAAAATCAGTATTATCAGCCTCATCATCCACAACAATATCCTTCACATCATTATCCCCCACCGCGTTAAACATGTTTTCGTTTTGTTTTGTTTTCTAATGAGAATTCTTTCTTTCGTTCATATATCTGTTATTATTTTTTCTTATGTCATTGTTGTTTGTTATGTGATTCAATTCTATTACTTTGTGTGATTTCTGAGTATACTGTTTTTTTTTATAATTTTTTTCTACCTCGCCTGTAAACCATACAAGATGTATTTTATTTCTGAAACAAAGATGATAAAGTGTATTATTTAGCCTGATATGTTATTATGTGATCCAAATTGCTTTTAGTTATCTTATTTTTGAATATGAAAAAAAAAATTGATAATAAGGACGTTTCTGGATCAAAATATGTCTTCCTTCTTTCTTTGATTCTATCTCTCTCTCTATTGATTTATAACATTTGTTTTTTTCGTTTAGATTAGCGGAAGTTTTAGTTGGTGTTGTTTTCAATATAAAAATGTTCAATAGTTTGATCAGCACGCAGAATATGAATAATATATACTTGTTTAACCTCTTTTTCAGAGTTCACATGTCATTATTATCAAAAAATATTCCATTTAAAAATATCTAACTATACCTTTTCCTTCTCATAAGGGAAATGCTGAGGTAGTACGGCATAGTTGTGACACTAATACTTACCGGTGTCGCACTCAACTTAATATAAAAATTAGATAAAAGTAACTACGATAAAAAACTAATTAAAAACTAAATAAATTTTAATGCAGCACTTGTAAAAATCACTGCACTTTGTATTTGAAGATATTGACACTGGCAGTGCCACACATTTACTTCTTTTCTGCAGATTTTATACTGTGAAAGAAATTTTGTGGGAAAAAACCTGTATTTTGCCTTAGATAAATTTGAAATTTTATCTGGTGTTTAAACATCTTACCTATATGTGTGTGCTGGATAACCAACAGACAGATATGAAAGAAATAATCAAGGATATATTATCAACAAGCAAGTTTTCAGACACGAACAGTACAAAGTACATCAACGACTTATTTCGTATAAAATACTTTTCATGCCATTTACAAACAAAAGTAAAGTTTCACTTTTCTACAGATAAGTGGACTTTGCCGTTTAGGTCTCTTTGTATATATTTTTTGAAACATCTAAAATTATTGTACTCATAGATACGATGTAAAAGCTGTCATTGAAGCTAAATTAAATATTGAAAAAGTTTATTCCTAATTTAATTTTTCCTTTTTTCATCTTTAGATGAATTATTTAGAAAAAGATATGTATTCAAATGTGAAGGTTGAGTGGGTTGATGTTTCACCTAGAGAACGTGAACAAATTTTGTGTACGTTTGTGTACTACACTTTGGTTTTTGAATCTATATTAATGATTCTTTTGCAGTGTCAAACAGTAAACATCAACAAAAACAGAAAAAGACAAAACCGATTGAATCTCCCGTATCAAATGTAGTAAGTAAAAGAAAGACAAAAAATATCGAAATAAGATTATTCTATTGTATAATTTTTTGTTTTAGTTTCATTTATCACAAGATGTAATGGCAGCTCGTGTTTTTAGCATTGTTCAAACAACGACAACAAATTATGCTCAAAGACCCCTAAGAATGACTAATTTGAAATGGTAAGATGCCTAGTGATTATTTGCTGTTGTTTTTTCATTAGTTAGATTGTAAAATGACATTAATAAACATGTTTTTCTCTCTTTTAGTTCATTAGTACGAACAAGTGACAAAAGTAAAAAAGAAAATTTTGATGCAGCTATGAAAGAATTATCTGATTTTCTTGATCAAGCTGAACGTATGTTCAATATCTATCATTTGTAACATATAGTAGAATCATTGTTTATCGTTTTATTTAGAAGTACAAATTCATGAAAGCACGTACGTTTTGATAGGTCTTGATCTAATTTCTTTATGCAATATTCATCATATCTGTATATTTTTAGAATTCGTCCAGCTGCTAAACGTCTTCGTTCATCACCGCCATCACCCACCGCCTTGGAACAGTCACAATCGACAATTACTCGTTTTGCTAGTCATGATAGTTATTTAAAACCCTTTCCACCTGTACCACCAGTCTCACCTCCGCAAACAAGTTTATTGCTAGTACCACAAAATGATAATGACTATTCATTTTTTCAAGATGCATGCTTATCAGAATGGAATACACCACCATCAAATAGAAAAATGGCTTCAGTAATTACCACACCAGTAACGACAGCAATAGTATGTGAAACAGTTAAGAAAAATCGAACAATGTCATCGCCCGTGACCATATTCCCGTCAAGTAAAAAATCAACAGTTGTAGAAACAATTACGACAATTCAAGATCCAACAGGTAAGTTAAAACGAATATTAGCAGACATTTGTAAAGAATCATCAACAATAAGATGACAACAAACAGATTTATTTTTGTTAAATAATCTTTTCTTTGGATTTTATTGACTCATAACTTATTAAAACTCACGTTTTACAAGAACCATCATTTCATTATTTATTTGAAGCTTTTGCTGCAATATTCCTCATAATATGGTATCTATTTTTTTTCTTCTAGAAACTGTTATTAAACAAGAAAAACAGCTACCTATTACTACCACTTCTAATATGATTGATTGGGGTGACGATGGTATTGATGACTGGCTTAGTCAAATTCCAATGGAAAGTCTTGTAAACGAAAGTTTAAAACCTAAAAAACCACTGTCAGTTGAACAAACTGATGAAATTACAAGAGTGGTGTGTGATGATTCGTTATTGAATGAAAGCAAGACAGAATATAATACCCTCACAAAAGAGCATAATGAAGCATTCAAGACATTTGTTAATCCAAATAACGATTTGAACGATACAACGACTATTGACATGTCTGTAACAACTCTTCAAAGTCCCAAAGATTTTGTTCCACCTCGTCCCTCACCGCCAATTACAACAAAAAGTGTGGCAGCTATTCATCGAACGACAACCGATCCATTACCGACACATTGTTATCTCCAACAAAAACATGAGTTAAATGAACTAGAACGTGCTCGTAGTGATTCGGTTTCTCAATCTACGAGCACTTTTACAGTAGTTAAAAAACTCTGTACACCGGAAGAAATTGAACAAAAACGTCTAGCAGCATTACAAAAACGTAAACAATCATCTGTTGCTGAAGTAAAAAAACGTTAGAAAAGTTGCAATTTTTATATATTCATTCTTTGTGTTTCTTTTTTGTTCGATTATTTTTTATATATTTTTTTTGTTCGCTGTTTTTGACTAACTCTTGTTTTTTTTCAACTCTCTAGTCGTGATATTCTTTCTCACTCAGATCTATCTAATAGTTTTATTGTTGTGCAATATTTTTTTTCTATTTTTATTATTATTATTCAACTGTGCCTATGTAAAAATAGTCTTAATACAATAATAAAGATTTTTTACATAAAAATAATCAGTGCCAAGTGCGTCAGCGGGTCATTGAAAGAAGTGTATATGGTAGTTTTTTCTTTCCTACCAAGAAAGCTATCTTGTGATTCATCAAGAAGCAAAGTGTTATTTAACATCCTAAAAATAAGGATTAGTATTACTTTCAAAGAGATTATCGTATTTTCTGATTTGATTATGCAAGAAACGTAAGACATCTCAGAGTATGGAATGAATATGCATTCCTCAACTATGAGTTCATATGTATTAAAAGCTCCTTTTATTATACAAATTATTCTCAGATCCAAATTCTGAAGAAATATGTTCTTTTATTTTGTATTTTTCTCAAAAGTTGCTCTTTCAACTTGGAGCTGTTGTTCCATTTACAAAATGTTTCCTATATAACTCATTGTTAGGAAAAGCAGAATCTGAAATTAAAAAACAAACAGCCTTTAAATTCGAATAAGAGACTATTGCATTATTTTACAATCAACAAAGTGGATAGATAACTTCTTAATTTTCTAATCATATCCTTTATTCATAACAACTTCTACATTTACACGAAAAAACTTATTGTAAGAAAAGGTCTTCCCCTATCTTACAAGCCTACTACGTTGAAATTGAATTAAAATAAACAGCTCCGTTTTTTGAAAAACCTAATTTAATATAATATAAGTGAATTTTGATACACCAATATCATGTCTATTTCCTAAACATGTTAAGAAATGTTGTAAACAAAAGTCCATCTTTCACCGGATTAACATCGACTGTTCGGGTATGAAGATGGTGAGCCAAACGATAGCCGCACATCTCAGATACATGTACATCGTTCGGTTATGAAGACGGTCAGTCACACGATACCCACACTTTTGTGGAGGCAATCCTTAAAAACAAATACAACACAAAGAGGGACACTAGGTCACCTCCACACCGTCCACCAATGTCATGCCAATGCCTAAACATGTTAAGAAATATTGCAAACAAAAGTCCATCTTTTGCTGGATTAACATTGACTGTTCGGGTATGAAGATGGTGAATCAAACGATACTTGCACTTGTCAACAACATCTACACCGTAATAATAATTTTCAAGAACCAGAATCTTTAAAGAATTTCTGCAGTTTTGCGTTTTCTGTAAGACATGGATTAATATTTTGGTAAAAGGCTGAATTGAGCGAATTTCGGTATTTCTGCTTTTAAAATTCCACCAGGGCAATCTTGCAAAATAGCCAGAACCATCCACCCATGGGTGAAAATTTCGAAGAAAAACTTTTCTCCACAAAATAAGAGTATGATACATCGTTTAATGCAGTTTGATGCACTGATCCTAAATATCACCTTGGTTTTTAATACAAGTGTTCCTGAGCGAAAAAAATTAGACTTCACGCGCGAAACTTGCAAAATCAAGGGTTTTTAGAAAATCTATAACTCACCTTTGGTAAATATGTGCATTTATGTGCATCCATATTAGATGCAGTAGATGCTGACGAACATTTTGAACTACTTTTGAGCTACCTACGGAGGTGGATGTAGGTGGATACCTCATTGCAATCATAACACCTGTTCCAAGCATACAGCCATGGGTAAACTTCGTTTTGTTTTCAGTTTTAGATGCACATCGCAATATTTTTTTTTCGGCGTAGAGCTGAGAGTGTCCTGATTCCGAATACATCCATTTCAAATCTTTAAATTAACATAGTTTAATAAAAATCGATTTTTCCTTAGATATCTCTGAAATATGGTCTATTTTTTCCGTATGCATTATCTCTGAAAGTTCGCCACTTGGGACAACAATTTTTGCGCCATTAAATAGATCATCTATATAAGTATATTCGACACTATTTGAATTTTGAAAAAGCGTACTTTGGGTTTTTTGCCAAATGTCCGCATGGATGCCCACTGTGCCGGGCCAGCGCAGCCATCGTCAGTAAGACGCGTGGATAACCAGGTATGGAAAAAAATAAATAAAAAAGGACTAGTTATTTAAAGTAAATATGAGAGCATCTTACTCTATCGAATGAGGTCAGATGCCGGCTTCTTCTTAATTAGTCTTTATTGTAAATTGGGAGCATCGCGAACACCTTCGATAGGAAAAGTAGATTAGATTAGAGAACGGTATGAGCAGACTGCAGACTGTTCCTACCCTAGACTGTTCCTACCCTAGGGCAAATGCTCTTGTAGGACTCTTGCTCTTTAAGTTTTGCTTTTCAAAATATGTATGAGTATGAAGTATACAGTATGTAACAATAGTCTTAATTTTCTTCTCTTGCCTCTTCCATGAACACATTCTTATATGGCAAAGAAAAGATTTCATAATCTATAGTAATTGATGAAGACTGATTCATGATATGCAAGCGAAGAAAATTAAGACTTGTTAAATACTCTATATTTCATACTAGTATATATTTTGAAAAACAAAACTTAAAGAGCAACAGCCCTACAAGAGCATTTTTCCTAGACGAGCAAATTTCCATTGAGCTTTTGTCCTAGGGTAGCCTTTTGTCTGGGTAACTTTTTTCCGAGTAACTGATGTCCTCGGAGAGGAACAGTTCGGGGAACAAATGTTCGGGAGGCATTTGTCTAGGGAGCATATGACCGAATATCGCGAGAATTATGAAATAAAGATAGCCGAAAAGAGAACGGAATTAGTGCTGAACAGAGAACGGTTCAAAATTCCGAGTTCAGAAGACTGTAAAGAAAACGTTCATATTAATTGCCAAACTTTTCGATAGTAAATTATGATCTATGTCTGGCATTATATGCAAAAAAGTACAAATATATATGACATTTCAAAAAAAGTAGAGTGAAAAGACTATATGCTTTTGGTCTACCACATTCTTTTGTCCTAAAGGATACGATCTTTTGAAATTACATAATAGCCAAAACCAATTACAAGTCCAACTATATGTTTACAAACGTATTCTCTACAAAAGAATTTGCACAAACAAAAGTTACGTTGAACCGAAACTACGTGAACACATTCATATCATATCTTAAAATGATTGAATGGTGAAAATGCATTGCTACCAAAACAATTAATTCAATCGTGAACACTTATTATTGGATGTGATGTGGGAACAACCGTTTCAAAAATATTCTATGGGATTGAAGTTCCATATTTTATAGCACCTTGAGAACATTTTAGTGCTAATGTTTCTAATTCTTTAATTATAACAACATTTTGTGAAAATCCAGTCTGAATCAAATTTTCCCATCAGTCTATCAGTAGTTTTTGTATTGTCGAGCACACCGATAAGTACATTTGTTGCAATTGACACTTGATTCACTTTGAAATATAGATGCTTTATTTTCTGATATGAATTCATTAAGTTCAGCTTTCGTATTGCAAATTCACAATGGTAGCCATTGTCGGCGCATCATTTTGTTTATAGTTCTTTTACTATTTACTTATTGATGTGTAAATATGAAGAAAAATCTCTCTTCCATACTTTTTTCAATCAAAAGATGTATATAGAGTTCATAGTTTTCAGTTCCTTCCCACAAAATTTAATTTGATATGTTTTCTTCCACTATTGTCCATCCCAAAAAAGAATAACCCATGGCTAGTTTTTTAATAACTCAAAAATGGAAAGAGCTAGAGTAGTGGATCTTTTAGATATAGAAAGAGCAGTTCATAGAGCATCTTTCTGTAAACAACAAGCTTTTCGACAAGTGTTTCAAAAATCGTTTTTTGACGGAATCTCTAGAGAGCTCGTGCATAACGAAAAAATTTGAAATATTAAACTATTGGTTTAGTAGATAGAAGAAGTGCCGTCTACAAAACGGGATCTAGGCGACATCTTCATTTACTATGCTCCAATAGCTACAGGCATTTTTCGCGAACCCCCGCCCTTTGCACTGAAAGCTAAAAAATTCAGAACTCATCCAAAATCGATTCAAATTACTTCAGAATATCAACATGTAATTTCTTTTAAAATATTTAATAGTTGTAATAATTTAACATGACGTAGGGTTGGTGATAGAGATTTTATTACAGATGATGATTGCTGTTGAATATGATTCATTAACATGGTGATAGCTTGTATACGATAAGTATCGATTAAAAAACGTTCACGTATGTCTTTCACATCTTGATGTTGAAAAAAAAATAAAATAAATGATTATATTTTAACGATATTTATTGAATTCATAATATGTCCTACCTGCTTTAAATATAACAGCAACTTTCAATAACATATATTCCATTTTATCGATTGAATGAAGATTAAATTGATTTAAAATTATTTGAATTTTATTTAATGCTAATATTTTTTCATCACTATCATTAAATAGTATAAACATATCTAAAACAAGATGATTAGAAAAATAATTAATGAAACAAAAAATTTTGACATTATTTTATTTTTGAAATTTTGTTTGTTTTCTCTTTTTAAGTGTTTCTTATTGCTTACTTTCATCAATAGACATTTGATGTTCGGCGGCTGTTATCAAAAATAGTTCAGACCATGATTCTTGTAATAATGTTAATTGATCGGTATCTGGAAGTTGGATAAATGATGGAATTGTACGTGCCCAACGAATTGAAGCAAATAAAATATATGTAGCTCGTTCATAAATATAATTCGTGATGGATAATTGAACTGTAGAATCTTGAAAATAGATAATTTAACATTATAATTTTTAAAACTCAAGATTATCTAATATCTTACGTAGGGATGTATTGACTAACTCTGTACTATCATCTTTCATAATGCCTGATAAATCTGTTTCGAATGAATGATCATCAGAACTTTCACCATTACTATATTTTGAAACATTGTGAAAGTGAGATGTTAATGATTTTGATATTGTTGGTGTTACGTAATTATTCCATGTAGGACTACTACTACAACAACAAAATAGAGTAAAATAGAAACAAAACTCAAAGTAAGAGAAACGAAAGACTTAATGAAGTTTATGTGTCATAATGATTGAAAAATATATTATTAGTCTATCATTGATGGTTATAATCACTTACATATTATTTGTCATATCTTTTATTGCAATATTTTCGTATTGATCTAATAATGATGATTTTTCTATGTTAAATACGTACCCATTGGATGAAGAAAATGTTTCTGTTGGTGTTACTGTTGGATGTGTATGTGACCAAAATTGTACCGTATTTGGAATTGGATATAAATGATAAGATGATTTTGTTTTTGTAATTTGAGAATTTCTTGGTGCTCGTTCATGTTGAACAGCTAAAATTTATAATAGTAAAGCACGCTTTCAATTGAGTTAAAAGTCTTCTTCTTCATTAGATATTTATTTGAACAAACAGTAAATGTCAATATACTCAATGATCACTTAATAAATATTCATTTGAAGTATGAGTTGTTCTCCTCCTACTGTAAGTAGTAGTAGATCTCATAGTCATTTTATCACACAATAAAAAATACATCTGTCAAAATTCACAAATGAGAGCACAAAAGTGGAAACTTTTTATTTATCAGAGACAATTCAGAATACGACTATATAGATCAATCAAGTTTATAGTAGTTAAAAGAAAAGATTTTTTGTTTGATTCTAGATTCTAACCTACCAAGGTAGTTAATTTTTGACTCCGATTATGAATTTGATTTGTACTCTGACGAGATCTAGAGCCATATTGTAGAGCACGTTGAATTATTTATGCACAGAAATTTTAAGAACTAACAGAGCATTTTTTGAACAATTATAAAAATTTAATAAAAAGAGCGAACATTTTACCTTGTCTTGATGAACATTTTTATAACTGTACGAAGGTTGATCTATGTGCTCTTAATATCTCTATGCATAAGTAGTTCAATGTGCTCACCTCACTCTTTACAATCTAACGCTGCCCGAATGTGTTAAGATGGAAGCTCATATCGGATCTTCTATAGATCCATCCAAGAACGACCAATAAGCACAAACGAATATTCGATTCATAATCTTCCTCGAAAATTTTCCTAAAAAACGTATATTTCGTCGCAGAAACAGTAGGAAAGAGTCCCTTGTTCGTATAATTCAAGAATCATTCATCTATAAAATCTTGACTCATGTGAATCTTACCATTTTTGTTCATTTTCATTGCTAAACATTTTTTCAGTCTACACGCTTGACATTGATTTCGTCGATTAAGATCAACTGGACAATGTCCTTTATCTTTACAAACATATTTTGTATTTCGTCTAATGGAATGAAAAAAGAAGTATAGTGGGAATCAATTTGCCTATCGTATATCCTTCATCTACCTAATACTTCGTTTAAAAAATCCTCTACAACCGTCACAACTTAATACACCATAATGTTTTCCACTAAAATAAAACTTATATAAATATGAATCATATACAACATTTAGAAATTTACCTTGCTTTGTCACCACAAACAGAACATAAAGAAAGAGTTCGACGTGAAACAGGAACAATGGGTGATGGAAGTGAATCCTCAGATGTTGATGGTGGATTTTGCCATGCTATTTGTTCAAGATTTTCTTCATCATTTGTTGTTGTTGACACTTTGGAAATGATTGATGCAACACTATCTAAAGAATAGATTTGAAAAGATAAAATACAGAAAAGTTAGAGAAAGTTTTTCCACTAAAAAATAAGCTGTAGGCATAAATTTATTTCTCAATGGTAATATTGTTCATCAATAATTGAACATAAACGGCAGGATAAATTTAACAGACTAGTACCGACATAAAACGCATGTATTTTGCAGTTCAATTTATATTAAACAAAAAGTAAGTTACTTTATTACTCAGCAGGTGTGTTCTCTCTTTTCCTCTATTCAAGCCAATTTAAGTGCAATAACCTTATTTATTAGTCAACGGAATTAGCTTCATACACAGACACACACATAGACATATAAACTCAAACGGTGACAATTCAATTATTGCACAATGATTACTTGATTCCTGATGTGTATATTCGTTTTCTTTTGCTCTTTTATCTTTTATTCATAAAAATATTTGGCAGCTTTTTGAGTAAAGAGCATAACTGAGAATGACGTCAACGCTTGTAACAAAAAAATGATGATGATCATAAAATGGATTTATGACGGAACATATACATAAATAATTAGAGATAAAAAGACATCGTCTTGAAGAGTGTAAACAATTTTAATAGACATAGAATAGAAAGGTTTAATAATACACAGATTTATTTTTCTCTTTCGTTAGTTGTTTGAAATATGCTATTTGTTATGTTTTAAATATGACACTTCTCTATTTGGATATATAGTGGCAAAATAATGATGAGCTATAACGGTTCAAAAAAATAAAGCTGTTATAAAGAACATTTCAAAAAGATAAGTTGAACTGTTAGTAGAATCTTATAAATAAAACATTTTCTAAGTTTATCAAACCAGTGTATATACGTAGTTAAAAGTTAGTCATTAACAAAAAAGTTCCTAAAGTTTTTGCTGTGAGAATCTAAATAGTTCAGTTTTAGATTGAATTCGTTTCTCTTTGAGACAATGTTAGTCATCGACTACAGCAACATATGCAAGATCCCTGTTCTATGTGTATAAAAGACCAACTTTCACTAAACTCGAAGAATAACATGTATGATGTAGTGACGCGTCAACTCTATATGCTCTCGTTTCAAAGCAACGTTCTTGTCTAGAATTTTACAGATTTCGCTTTGGACTTTCCAAAAGTCATCCCTAGACAAAATCCTACACACTTCCGGTCTATTTTCTACTAGGATCTTGCAGGACCCTAACATTTAGAAGCCACCTAATAACTTCCAAGCAGAATCCTAAAATGCCAGGATTCTACTAGGATTTCGCTTAAGTTTGTTTAAGATCCAAACAGAATCTCAGAAAATCCTATGACTTTTGGGTATACCTGATTTCATTAGGATTTTGCAGAATTTTGTTAGGATCCTAAGAAATTAGAGCGAAATCCTAGTAGGATATGTCTCGGATCCTGTCAGGAAACTTTTAGGACTTGTACTAGAGATGGGACTTTCTTATGTCTACTTTTAGATTCTAATAGCTTTTTTTGAATAAAAATAGTTATCAAAAATTCGAGTTATCACAGGAAGCAAATTGAAAATGATGAATGACATAATACATCGACAGGACATCGCATAGTGAGGGACCGTTCTCGTTATATATTACCTCTTATTTTCAAGTCTTCACGACAGTGATAATATACATTAAGCATGTTTTAAGCGTTTTGCAAAGAAACACTTCTTTGGTTAAAAAAAATCTTCTATTTAAAAATCTTTTTGTTATGTCTTTTAACGCTCATAATTGATCTCTCTGAACTCTATTCTTGAGTATTCTGATGTCTAGAACGGTACCAAGCTATATATAGTACTTAAAAAATAATTAAGAAGAGAAATGTCAAAGATAGTATTGAATCGTTAATTTTTTTATGAATTCTGATTTTAGTAAAATAGATAATTAGGGATAATAGTTCTCATTAAAAAAATGCATCTCTTTCTTTTTTATGCTGCACAATAATCTTTTAAGTATGTGATCCGTACACGAGTTGTACACTTATAGTTTTAAAAGTAATTATTTCGTCGTTATGTCTGTATATTAAACATATAATAGATGTTGTTTTTAACTGATCTTATAATAGCATAACTGTTGTTTTTTTTCATTTTAATTGTTTTAAGTGTTTTAATGCGATCCTTAAATAACACTGCTATCGATACCCACAACAATTATGTCACTATATACTAACTAACACCCATACACCTTATCTATTATTACTGAAAATATCTTACGAAAATTGTTTGTTTAAAATATACTAAGACACGACGATAGTGATAAGATAGTTTGGAAGAAATAAAAACAAAAGAATGAGAGTGTGAAATTCTTTCTAAATTGTATTTTCTGTGAACTATTTTAAAAAATGGACACTCCTTCCTTAATAAACTCATACAAAAATAGAAAATTGTGCTCACTTTATATTTGATCATAAATTACGCATACCAATCACAGTGGGAATCTAAGTTGAATATACGTTCAAGAAGAGATATAGAATAATAGAAATAAGTTAATTAATGAGAGATCAATGATTCGCATGGTAAAATTTGTGTACATCACAAAATTCGATCGTGTTCTCTTCTTTCTCTCTATTTGCCGTATGACAGCAGATAACAGAAGAATTACAATGAGAAAACCATCTTGAATGAAGTCTTTAAGAAGTTTTAATACTGGGTGGTTGATAGTGAATTGAGTTAAAAATTTAGTATAAAAAGTAGAGAAGTTATTTCACTTTTATCAAGTTGTGGATATGTTGGCCATAAGCAAATTATCGATTAAAATGTTTTTTATTAAGCATTTGAGTAGTACTACTACTATTCTTGGATTTATACTCTGTTAGTCTATTATTATATGCTTTTACTACTTCGACAAGTGTCTTCTTCTGAAGTTAAATACTCTGTTACTGATGAGACTAGACACACACACACACACAAATTTTTTCATCTACTTACACATATTAATGTTTTAATCTAATTTTTTTCTTTAACAGACATTCACCATATTTGTTGTTCACTATGGTACTACTATACGATTAAAGTACGTGTTTTCTCTGCCAAATGGGCAAGTTTAATAAATATATAATTTGATCGATGCTAGTGCTGGCTTTTTGATTTATTTCATTATTTAAATGTACCAATCAGAAATGATCATTTTTTTAGAACCAATAAAAATATTATGTTGAACATGAGAAGAAGAAGAAAATACCAATAAACGTTTTTCTATACTCTCTAAAGAGAAACATCATATTTTCTCCTATAAAATTTGTAATGATGAAACGAAAAAGTGTTAATTAGGGCGAGAAACTATGCATAATTTCTAACAGAAAAAACTTTTTTTACTGTGCCAATTTTGATTTTAATTATCTAAATCGTGATGATATAATTCGTTCACGGTTTTTATTTTCGACACTAGTGTCTGAATATTCGTTATAATACTGATTTAGATTCAATTTGCCAAGATAAGTCTACCTTTTTTGTAGGTATTTTTTTGCGTTGAAAACAACCGTGACTTCATGATTCAGATCGCTTTTTTTCTATGCTTAGTAATTGGATTTAGAAGATGATCTCAATTTGGAATAGACAATTTGTTCTTTTCATAAATTTTGTGCACTGTTTATAATTTCGCATCACTCCGTCATTGGAAATGGTTGACTACTGTAGTGAGAGACATATATTAAGGTATTTCTTGAAACCATTACTGGAAGTGCAAGTTGTCGCATGGAATACTTTCTTACGTAAATTTCAAACGGTTATTGTCGAAAGTTGTCATTTCCATTTTGCACAAAACACATCATTAAGTTACCGCTACATAGTTGTGTTAGATAATGAAGTAAGAAATGATGATAAGTATACACTTAAAACATGATTATTCTGTAGTATTTTTTGTAAATTATAAACAGTGCACAAAGTGCATAAAAAGAATAAATTCTCTATTTCAAATTGAGACAACCTTCTAAATCTAATTAATAAGCATAGAAAAAAAAGTGGTCTCAATTATGCTGGAGCCAAAACAACTATTGCCAATACGATTTGAATGCGATATTTTATTCACTAATGTTCTTAAATTGACAAAAATTTCAATCTGCCCATTCGATTATGGAAAGATGTGTTTTGTCGTGATTATCATAATCGATGCTGTGTTTTTTCTTGAATATCTTATGTATGATTCATCTAACCGTTTGATAACTTCAAAACCATACTGCGTTGTTACTGTATTGATCTAAATAATCCTATAATCTTTTCTTCAGCTACTATCAGACTGATTCTCTATTGGTCTTCACTTTTTCAGTGGTCAGTGCATCTAAATTTAATATAGTCACAATGTCATTTAATATGTGATAAAAACGGTTAGTTTGGATGCTTTGTCGGTTAACGGTTGAACCTATTGGCGTGACCACCGATCGACTCCTCCCACTAAATGTCATAAAAAATTTTATAACTCGCATCACTCTGAGCTAATATTTTATAATCAATTGTTTGTGTGGATAAGTTCGTTTAGATAAACAATATTTCGATCAAATACTTATGAAAGACTGAAATCTTCTCGATTGTGTACTGCAAAATGTGTGCTTACTGCTTAGGAAGAAGCATAGCACCGAAAACAGCGGGATTCGGATGTACCGTTTTTCTATCTGTTTGAAAGAATTTGAATCACTTGTGTCAATTAGAATCACATCCTAGCTACACCTCTAATTGAAATCTAACAAACGTTTCTCCAGTAGCCTAGTCTACTGATCGTGAGTATTCATTTGATTAGTTTAACCTTTTTTCATTTCTAAGCGGAGAGCGATTGTTGTGCTTTTTGTCAAACTGAAAAATCTCACAAAAAGGAAAAAATCATCATGCTAAGGAATAAGTATTATGTTATCGTTTAATGTACAGTATCTAATTCTTTTTTACGTATTCAAACCATAAGTATATCTAATTAGTACATATTTGATGACATGTACCATACATTAAAACAAATATTAAATTTTCAAGGTTTAGATATAAAAGCCTTATTTTTCTACATAACTTCATTAACTTTTGGTAGAAACTAGCGATAACTTTCTAACATTCATGAGAGTTAATTAGATATTTATTTTGAGAACTTCTGATATAAAGCGTGGTTCTTTGACAACAAATAGTCGTAAATAATTTATTACGCACTATTACAACCGCATATTAACCAGTTGCATTCTGTCAGGTAGAAAAACCTCCTCACGTTTTCATCACGTTGTTTCCGTTCACATCCTTCATCTCTTAGTCATACATTCTTTCTTCATCACACCACTTCTGTCGTGCCATTTATTGTATCATTTCCTCACGTAGTTTTACATTCCTCTCTCTATTATTGTTACATATATATATGACTATATTTTTATGTGTTGAGGAGAATTGAGTAGTTATCTTTTTCTGTTAAATAAACACATGAGGATTATCATTTTCACAATTCTTGATCAAGCAATAAGTAGATATGTACAAAATTTCATTAACTTTCATTTCCAGAATTCTTATTCGATAAGCTGAATCCTAAAGAGTGGCCTTCTATTGTGACAACTTTTTTCGCTTGCTAATAAAGGCAGAAAGTGTTCAATACATAAAAACCGATATTGTTGCAGAATTATAGGAAACTTGTTTACACACATATATATTCTATCACAAAGTACCTGTTCGAGTATCAGCGTTCAATAGTACAATTTGTTTGATTCTTTCTGTTTTTAAAAAAATTTCTATCAATACAAGTGTCTACCCGAGATAAAAGACTATGGACTTCTATTTAACTTTCATGTCGCATAATTCACACTGATCTTTTAATAAGGGATCACATAGAAAAACTTGATCGCAATCCAATTCTATCAATGATAAAAACTGGAATTGATGAATGTCTAACTAGAAGACTTAATATCATTATCAACATTACAAACAATTTAAACTCTCCTAACAATCAATCAAATTTACCATACATTAAATTTTTCTCTATTGTATAAGATTAGAAAATTATTATAAATTGGTACAGAATATGATATTCTTTACTCTCTTGATAATCCCTTATTTTTCGGTAAGATACAAGCGGGATAACACTAGAATGTACATAACTACCTTCAATTATAGCTTGTAGGAATACTCAAGTGTTCACTGCAAAGTGTTTGTGTCTAATTACTTTTGTTCTCGATTAAAAAACAATTGCTTAATTTCTTCCTTTACAACATGAATTACATTTGTTTTAACAAAGAAAAATTGATAGATATTATGTGCATCGTTATTGATCGTCTTAGAATACGTTAACTAGGGACTGTCGATTTCGAACCCCCCCATAAACTTTGGGAAGAATGAAGACGTTCTTTGAATAATGCAAACAAAACAAATTTGCTATT